CCCCCCCGGCCCGTATTTTCTTTTTTCCTTTATGGAAGCATGCTAACGTCATCCCACAGCTCGTGATATCGATGTTGGCGTCGAGTTCACTCTGGGCATCTAAGGCCCCCTTACCTTCACTTGACGTTCACCTAGCGAAAAGCCGGTTCCACGAATCGCCGTGTGTATTAATTTGGTACCTGGGTTACCTCATAAACTTGTTCCCTTGGGCTAGGGAAAGGGGAGTGAATGGGTTGTGCGATTTTGAAGTTGTGGGTTGGCAAATAGAGGTGGGTAACTTTCCCTTGTCATAGCATCAACGTATCGCGTCGGCGATTCTACAAAGTGCCCGGCAAATCCGTGGCATATAAATCAGAATCTTCATTTGCTTTCAAGTCATATGTGTCATTCCTATGGTAGATTTTGGTTTACGATCGTCGCCTTCGATTCCCCCCTGTGGGATATCCTCTCCGCCAGCACTTGCGAGACGGGAGGGGAGGGACGGAAGTACGGACCTCAAAGGACTTCGAAATCGAAAGGACCAGACCACATCCTGGATTCGGGGACCAGGACATATGCAGGCCCCCCTCCCCCGCCAATTGTTATCCGCAATCCGGTGACGGCGCCTACGAGCCAAAGCAGCACGTACAAAGCCCCGATCCTCGGCAACAAGATGTCAAAAAGTACGGTGCGAAGTGCACAGGTGCCGGCCCAGGCAGCGTTGACATAGGGAGCCAGCCGTACGCACTGTGTCTGCAGGAGCGCCCAAGCTTCGGACGCGAAACACCAGAGTAGCGCCGATGCTGCCCCGAGAAGGCAGTGTATGACGGCTAGGGTGTCCCAAAGCCGCCGTTTCTCCCTGCGCCATAGCAGAGCGGGCGTGGGCCGGATCGGTCGGCGGCGGTATTCTGTTCGGGGAACCAAGGGCCCGGGCGGTGCGGTATAGCATTCGATTTGGTAGGTGATGTAGTCGGATTCGGCTGCGGGTAAAAAGGAGGGGTCTGGAGGCGGGTTGAAGGGGTTATTCTTGCCGAGCTTCGGTAGCCGGTGGCAACGAGGGCCGAGGATGTCGTCGTTGTCCGGGTGCCTTCGGGCCTCTCTGAGACAAGAATCGACGTACCGGTTGAAGTGCTCGGCGTATGGGTTCCGATTTCTAGATATCACCATCTTGTATGTTTATGCAGGAAAATGGCAATGTTAGGATTTCGACTCTTTACTGGATAAAAAGCAGGTAGGTGCAGAACCAAAGATGACGAGTCTATACTGGTGGTTAAGGCGCGTAGGTGCGTAGATATTAGTTGATTCAAAGGATGGGGAAAAGAAAAGGTTGGAAGAACTTACCATGAACTTACCGTCCCGTGAGTAGAAGCTAGAGAACTGGGAATATGAGTTGCTAGTGGGGTGCAGATGTGAATGGGTTCCTCTGAGCTCAAAGATTTGAGAAGAGGAAGTGAGACTGTTGGAACTTTGTTTCGGCATCATCCGGATATGGGAGACACAGCAAGAGTTAAATAGAAGGCCTGAGTAATAACTGTTACTGGGTAAGTTATTGTTGGGAGGCCAGCACTTGCCAAGGGCCTTTGTGGAACAAGCTCTTAGAGCCTGTGATGGACTGTTGTTGATAACCAATGCCATCACTATAATGCTGTTCTGGCAAGGCCTTGTCCTTTTGGGGAACAAAACGAGTGAACTGGGCACTGGCTCTGGATAAAGGTATTATGTGCCATCGGTAGATGTCATTGTTGGATAACCAGCCAATTTGAGAAGATATTCTGGTGGTGAATAGGATAGGAGGCAGTAAGACACGGATGAAGACGAATAAAGGCATGTATCACTCACGGAATGACAAGCTCCAGAGAAGCTGGATAAGATAAGCATGGAATGAGAGGAAGTGGAAGATGAGTAAGAAGCATTTTGGTTCTTTTGTTCCCTTCTTCATGATGGGTTCCTGATACATTCAGGCGACTTATGCTGATAGATAAGCCTAACAGCAGAAATGACGAGAATGAATGTAGAGGATGCCGTATAAACCCAACATCATATCATCTTTGTCTCTCGGTCCAGGGCACTGGAACAATGTGAGGTAGTTTTCGGCTATATGTCCGGACGTCCGACACCTCGAGTGAAGGGTCATGATGACTCATCCGACTCAAAAGCGCCTAGGACCCTTATTTCCGAGGCCCACCACGGGTGCGATAGGACATTCCCGGCTTGGCTGCCGTGTTGACGTGGACTACGAAGTTGAAGGTATTTATACAGGTACGATCCTGGCATCACATCCCGCGCGAGTCACCCTGGGGCGAATCATTGGAGGTCGACCTCACAGGATCCAACCTTGTGAAGCAAAGATCCATCCCATGGACTTGATGAAGTAGAGTGGATCCGGTAGTCGTGCATGTTTGTCCGCGAGTCTTCTCCGACCAAATCCCGGCTTGTTTCGTCCGGTTATCGCACTCTGGCGGCATCATCAGGATGGATCCAGAGCAGCGGGCCAGCGGCTAGTTGTTAGCTTCAAGATAAGCCGTTGAAAGATTGTAGGTATACGCAGCTTTTCACGCTCAAGATATCCTCGGTCAGAGATTGCTCACTGATTTTCCACAGACGAAGAGTTTGACTGGGCCAAATCCGGGTCCTCGTTGTCCGTTCCGGACCCATAAATTCGGGTCCGAGACTGCCGGTCTCCGCTACTCGGCCCCAGTGTGGTCCGGTCATTATCAAAATTGTAGGCTCGACCCCACTGCCTTCACATAACCTCGGATGTGGTCAAGTTAATGCAGGACACTCGTTGGATATAATACGTATAAGAGACAGAAGGCTCCCACTCGTAAGCCTGACTCGTATAGAACTTCCAGATCGTGAAGATACATTCATTCCAGTCCACTCGCTTCCTACTACAACCTGGCCCTCAGACCTCGTCAGCATTAGAACCACCAAGGCCTTATTCTCTTGCTAAACAACCATCACACCTCAGAGAGTTTGTCACCGCATCCTCGAACTCAGCCATGGAACCTTCAAAGAAAGAAGTCAAGCAGAGCTGGTGGAAGCGCCACTGCACTCCCCCTCCTGCCATCAACAAGAGCCCCATGTGCCCCTGCCGAGAGTGCTTCGATGCTGCTCCGCAAATATACGACGACGTTACCCCGTCAGAGTCGCCGGCCCATTCGACTCCGTCACCCTCAGCCTTCCCGTCCGCGGCCTCTTCCCGCAAGAACTCCGTCCAGCTGCTTCAACAGGGTGACGGCAAGGATGCGGTTCACCAGGGAGTCTCGACAAGCGCTTCGCTCGCGCATGTCGAGACTGTGAAAGAGAGGAAACGAAAATCCATCGAAAAATCATAGTCGGTTTCTATCGTTCCATCTCGTTACAATGCAACGATATGCGACCATGCCAAGAACGGCAAGACTGGAGATCGGGCGTTTGCTCCATTAAGTCGAACCATCATGGAGTGGCCGGCTGGGGTTCAACTGGCTACGTATCCTACGACAGGATTACGGTATTACCTTTATTTCATTTAATTTTCCTACAACACTAAATAATGACGGAGCATGGGGAAACGGGAAATGTATGGAAAGGGAACGGAAAAGATACCCCCAAATTTGTGCTTTGGGCACTCGGCTAAGGGGGATGGATTCTTCAATGAGGAAAAGTTGGGGTAGCATGACGTCAGTGCGTCAAAGTGAATTTTTGACATTTGGGTGGTAAGAAGCGTAACCTAATTGACAGCTCATCCAAGAGGAACTGGATAAACATACGAATCAAGCAATCATATTGAAGAGAGCCTGTATCCTTATACAGATCCTGTGACGCATCATGGCCCCAAACGTCGACCCTGCAATTCTGGAGGCGCTCGGCCTCGACCCCGCCAACACGAAGCTGTCCTCTCATGGCGGCTCCGGCTTCTCATCTACTTTCAAGTTGTCATCCACCGTGAATGGCAAGCCCGTCAACTACTTTGTAAAGACGGGTCTGGGAAAGGATTCCGAAGTCATGTTCAGGGGTGAGATGCCGCATGCCTTCTCATCATGGTACGGATAGGGCCAGGCGGCGACCGTCCTAACTCTCACGCAGGGGAGCATGCGTCCCTGAACGCAATAGCAGACGCGGTTCCCAGCTTTTGCCCCCGCTCACATGCCCACGGGGCCATGGAATCGTCCCCCGGCAAGTTCTTCCTGGCCACCGACTTCCTGGACCTCCGCGCCTCCTCCCCGGCGGGCTCCGGTCTCTCCCTCGCCGCCAAGCTCGCCCAGCTGCACACCACACCGGCGCCGATCCCGGAAGGGCTCGACCGCCCCATGTTCGGCTTCCCCGCGACGACCTGCTGCGGCGCGACCCCGCAAGACAACTCGTGGAAGGCCTCGTGGGCGGACTTTTACGCCGACAACCGCTTGCGCGCCGTTTTACGCGCCGGTGTCGAGGCGAATGGGTCTAACGCCGAGCTGGAGCGCTCGGTGGAGCGCGTCGCGTCTGCTGTCGTGCCGCGGCTTGTCGGCGAAGGGACAATGAAGAACATCACGCCTGTGGTCATCCATGGGGATTTGTGGAGCGGGAACCATGGGCGGGGTCGCATCGCGGGGCAAGGCGGCGTGGAGGAGGTCGTCTTCGACCCGAGTGCGGTGTACGGCCATTCCGAGTACGAACTGGGCATCATGCGCATGTTTGGCGGCTTTGGCTCAGCGTTTTGGACGGAGTATGGGAGGCTTGTACCAAAGGCTGAACCTGTGGAGGAGTGGGATGACCGTGTGGCGTTGTATGAGCTGTAAGTCATTCCCCTGCTCAGCCCCTATATGCTTTATAGTTCTCTCTGACTTTGCACACTCCGCCTTTGGTCATTAATGTACTGACTAGGATAGATACCATCATCTAAATCACTACGCATTATTCGGAGGAGGATACCGCGGAGGGGCCATGTCGATCATGAAAAACCTCATCGCAAAATACGGCTGATACACAGTCTTGCAGAGATTCTACTCGTCACGGCCTATCCCAAAGGTCTCGGTGCCCTTTTATCGGGACGTCAAAACAAGACCTCCAATACATGTAGCAGAGTACCCAGATGCTGAAGAGGAAGTGCATCTACCGGAGAACTGCCTGGCCCGTTGTTATTACAACAACAAATATAAAGCCCCCGGGCTCATGATACTTTGGATGTTTGTATGTGAGATGGACGTCGGGAAATTTTACTCGAGCCAGGGGTAGATGTATTAGATGTATTGGGAAATTGTATCAGATGAGCCGAGTGAATAGTCACTCAGCTCGTGTAATTACGAGAACGATGTTGGACAGGATCAAATTTCTCCAGCTGACCTTAATCCATGGGCATTGGTGAGCGGAGCGTGAAACAAAGGAAGCAGACCCCAACATAAACGCCTAGTTCCCTGAGAAATGACCATATCCCACGAGGGGCTAAGTACCTTAATGTCGCTCTTTGAGGTGTGGTCACATGCCCTTTACCCACCAACCCCGCCCTGGAAAATGGGCTTATTATTCCAATATGTGATGTATGAATTCTGGTCTCCAGATGCATCAGAGCACATGATGGTGTCAAAGAAACGAATGAGAGTGTACGGAGTATAGTATTCTCCTTTGGGCATCCTTTATTCACATGGTCCTACAGCCACTGCCATCAAAGCTCCCACCTCTTCAAGTCACGAGAGACAAAGAGCACACATAAACCAAATACCAACAAGCCTTTTTTTTTCTTTTTTTGCAATTTAGTTGCAAAAGAAATGGATACCCAGCCAGGTGCTGCTCCCGCAAAATAGCAAGACCACTGGTGAAATATCATCGTCGCTAGCATCCAAGAAGAGAACCACACCCAAACCTAGCCAGCCTGGTACATGGCAAGCGCAGCAACATGCGGGTTCAGCTGGGTCAAATTGTATGGGGTGACGTAGAGGTCTATATCCGTGAGGGCGAGGAACATGGTCCCGTTGATGGCCGGATCGCCCTCAAGCGTGGATACATTGGGCTGGATGGTATAGGCGGTCCGGTTGGACAGGTTGACGTCTTCCAACGGCGAGTACGTGACGTTGAGCTGCGTCACCCAGGCGGCGAACCGTGGCACTTCCACCTCGGTGGCCGTAACGTAGCTATTGTTGGGGCCCACCGGCCGGCCGGGGTCGTCCCACTTGAGAAACACCTGTCTTCCAGGATACGACAGCGGTTCCGTGCGGTTGCGCGTAATCCCTGGAGCGCAGCTCTCTCCCACGGCCGTGGCGTTGACGCAGAACTCCGAGCGGGCAATATCCTGGGTCGACAGGGTGTTTGACCATCCACCGGTCGTCTCATTCCACACGTCGGACCCGTTGATTCGCGCCGAGTTCGGCTGGTTCAGAACGTGCAGGGCCGGGAAGTTCTGCCACACTAGGCGGGTCTGGTTGTACGGGCAGCTCGAGATGTACGGGGCGAGCATGGTCCAGGCCCACGACTGCGGAACGGCGACCATGAACCACACGGGCATGGGGAAAAGACCGCTAAATTGGCGGAAGATCATCTGCTGGCGAGCCTCAGTCGTGATGCTCTGCAGCAGGAGCTGGGCGGCCGGACCCGAGTTCAGGTGCGGCAGAAAGCCATAGACACCGGCCTCGCTCCACCGAGTCAACTTCTGGCAGAAGTCGAGGTATTCGCGCAGGCTGGTCACGGGGTAGTTGTACGTGCACTGCCTCGGGGCTTGCGGGCCTAGCATGTTGGTCAGGATCGTGGCGTGGCCGACTTCCTGCTCGGCCATGAACTGGAGGAGATATCGGTCCTCGGCGGTGAGTTTGTTGGCCTCGAATTCGGACTCGGGGAAGCGGGCGAGTCCCCAATGGAAGAGGTCGAGCTCGATCCATTCGTGGTACAATGCTAGCGCAAGAGATTGATAATCGAAGTCGCTGGCGACGCGATAGACCGGCACTGAGCCATTCGTGCCGATACCGCCCGACGGGGTGTACGGGGCTGGTTGGTCCCCGTGGAGTTTGCCGTCGGCCGGATATTTGAGCAACTCGGGAGGCGGAGGTCTAGCTGGGATGGAAGCGGCCAGGACGGTGGTCGAGAGAGCACCAGTGGTTGTCGGTGTCCCTTCGAAAGGACCATGAAACGTCACATTGGTATGGGGAACCACCGGGACTGTAGTTGTAGGCTGTTGACTGAAGGTAGTCTGTGGTTCAGATACGTACGGCGCAGCTCGAGAGCCGCACACTAGAGCGAGGAACGCGGCGCAGAAGCCACTCTGACTCAACTGCTGCTTCATCTTGTCTTTCGGCCGTCGGATGCCAGAGAATTTCCATGTTGGCAGGTCCGTCCATCAGGGGAGCTTGCCGCCTACCAATCTATATAGCTCTCTGCAGGCAACTCGCCTGGGGCTAATCAGCCTGAACCGATCCAGCCGTCCCATAGTGACTGGACCTTTTGATGCTTCCGTCAGAGTCTGGATCCTCAAGTCTATGACGACGAGAAAGGGTAGGGTTGATTAATCCCAAGGCTCTCTCGTACTATCATTAGGTTCACTAGGTGAGGCAAAGACTTGATCGCAAGCTACCTCTAGTCCCGGCATAGAATTCGGCGGATAATTGAGACGTTCGAAATGCGTAGAATCTTCAGATACCTCTGGCTGTTCAATCAGGACCTTTTCACCATTGTGCTCTCGGACGACACTCGTTGGTACGACCCTGTTTTGTCGAACGGCGTAAGATGTGCAATGGAAAGCTAGCCGTGGCATTTAGATGTGTCGACGTCTTGTTAAACGTCGTTACGAGGATGGAATGAAGGGGCAGGAGTCGTTGTGCTGCGTTTATTAATGCTGCTCCCTCGCGCTACAAGAAAAGACGGTATGGAAGCACTCAAGTGTACGCCGTACGAAGACAAATATAAGGGGTAATTACGACGTTGTAATTACGTATCCGTCTCCACAGAGTACTTCGTACCTAGGTACTTTACCTTATTTGTGGGGCCTTCATCGGCCATGTGCAGCCAACTTCACGTGACGATGACAAGGTGGCAGGTACGTTAGGCGACAGGGACACCTGGACATCGAATTTCCTTCCCATCGTCAGTCGAGGGCTGGTTCGAGGATACCTAATCCCTTGTTCCCACTTCGCTGTCCGTCACCTCCCAGGGTTATGCTTTTTACATTTACCCAACCCCCACGAACGTTCGCGCAATGACACATAGCCTTCTCCAACATATATGAAATCTCCAAGCACTTGCGCAATGAACGGACATTTTGCCTCGGTGGGCGCGGACCCAAGCGTCCAGGATTTCGAGCATGGCGTGCAGGTCATCGATGACCAGAAGGAGTTCAAGTGCGGCGCGGCTCCCTCCCTCTCCCCGAACCTGAAAATGACTGTTTCGCAACCACATAGCGGTTGGTAGCGGTCTATGCTGACGGAAATCGCCCTTTGCTTTAGCTCTCATCTCAACGAATACCTCCGTCAAGTCCATGTCGCCGAAACAGGTTTCAACTATCACCTCATTTCCGTCTTCGGTTCTCAGTCCACCGGAAAGTCCACTCTCTTGAACAACCTTTTCGGCACCCACTTCTCGGTCATGTCCGAGTCGGAACGCCGTCAGACTACGAAGGGTATATGGCTGTCCAAGAACAAGAAAGAGGCCAACATGGCCCAGAACATCCTTGTCATGGATGTCGAGGGTACGGATGGTCGCGAACGCGGCGAGGATCAGGACTTCGAGAGGAAGAGCGCCTTGTTTGCGCTGGCCACCAGCGAGGTCCTCATCGTCAACATCTGGGAGACCCAAGTTGGCCTGTACAACGGAGCCAACATGGGGTTGCTCAAGACCGTCTTTGAGGTCAACCTGCAGCTCTTCCTCAAAGACAAGCAGTAGGTGTTCCCCGGATCGATCCCAGGCCCGGGGGCCCGTCGAATTGTCGTACTGATCTGATCTGTCTACTATCTACGAAGGTCGAACTTGCGATCCCTCCTGTTCTTCGTTATCCGTGACCACCTAGGCGTCACCCCGCTCGCCGCTTTGCGCAACACCCTCGTCCAAGACCTGGCCAAGATCTGGTCCTCCATCTCGAAACCCCAGGGACTGGAAAACTCGCGCATCGAGGACTACTTTGACTTTGCCTTCGCCGCCCTCCCCCACAAGATTCTCCAGGCGGATAAGTTCACCACCGAAGTGCAGAAGCTTGCGACTCGGTTCACCTCCGGTCATCGGACGGGCAACTCGGGCGATCATGAGTTTCAGGGCGGCGTCTTCCTGCCCGAGTACCACCGACGTATCCCTGCGGATGGTTTCTCCATATATGCCGAGGGCGTCTGGGACCAGATTGTCAACAACAAGGATCTTGATCTTCCCACACAGCAGGAGCTGCTCGCTCAGTTTCGGTGCGACGAGATCTCTCGCGAGGTCCTCGTCGGCTTCGACCAGGCGATTGTTCCGCTGGAGGAGAAGCAGGCGGAATCCACCAGGACTGGCAGGCCGGCAGTATTGACGGACCTGGGCACCACAGGCAACGACGCCCGCACCCAGTGCCTCAAGGCTTTCGAGACGCAAGCGAGCCGGTACCACAAGGGGGTCTACACCAGAAAGAGGCAGGACTTGGAGAGTAAGATTGACTCCCGTCTGAAGACGCTCTACCTGGCGCACCTTACTGCCGTTCACAAGTCCGGTATTGCATCCTTCAGCGATGCTGTTTCGGCGGCTGTCAAGGCCGGCCAGAAATCCGGCGCCTCATACGAGTTCGCCGAGATTGTCGCTGAGGAGAAGGCCAAGACCTTGGACTTCTTCAAGACCGAAGCCCAGAGTCTAGCTATCCAAGGCATTCCATGGACCAACTTCAAGCCGCAGTATGATATTTTTGAGAAGGAACTGGACGACGTGAGTGGCAAGTTACGCAAGGAAGAGATGAGGAGATTGGCTACTCGGGTGGAGCGTTGGGTCAAGTCGCGTCTCGGCGATGCTGTTGGGCTAGAATTCAACAAGCTAGGCTCCGGGAGGGCCGGCGGCGGAGCTCCGGAAGAAGGGGAGCAGCCCAGCGAGAAAGACCTCTGGGATCGTGTCTGGAACGTCTTTGTGGACATCGTCAGAGAAGCCCAGAGCCGATTCACCGAGAGGGCGAAGAGCTTCGAGGCCACTCAGGAGGAGGTAGATGTCGGCCTTTGGAGGCTGCGGCGCAAGAGTTGGGTTGCCCTTCGGGAGAAGATCGAGGAAGAGGTCATGGAAGGGAACATTCTCCTGAAGCTGAGGGAGAACTTCGAAGACAAGTTCCGCTACGACGATGCAGGTGTTCCCAGGATATGGTCGCCCGCGGACGACATCGAGGGAATCTATACCAGGGCCCGGGAGTCGACCCTCACTCTCATCCCGCTGCTGTCGCGATTCCGACTCGCGGCTACCTATGCGTCCCCCGACCTGCCGGGATGGATCGGCCCCCAGCCCCGGGGCGCCGAGGCCGGCGACGAAGAGGACCTAGTCCCTATTGGAGGTGTCGATGAGGAGGACGGCAAGAGCCTCGAGGAGGAGATGACTGTGCTCAGCGAGACTAAGCGTCAGGATCTCGTCGTTCGTTTCAAGAAGACAGCAGACGGGGTCTACGTGGAAGCGAAGCGAAGCGCCATCGGCGGTGTTGCCCAAGTACCGCTCTACTTCTACGCCCTTCTCGTTGCTCTCGGTTGGAACGAGATCATTGCCGGTAAGTGGGCGTTGCTCCCAAACAAATGGGAGGAGAAGGGCCACATGATGTTCATGATGCTAATTTTTTTTTGTATTTCCTACTAGTTCTCCGCAACCCGTTCCTCTTCATTTTCCTCCTCCTGCTTGCAGGCGGCACTTACGTCGCTTACACGATGAACATGCTCGGTCCGATGATGCAAATGGCCAATGCGGCCGCCAACCAGGGCGTCGATATCGGAAAGCAAAAGCTTCGCGAGTTCATTGAGAACTCGGACACGGCCCGACAGGCATTGAACATGCCACAGAAGGAGCGCGAGGAGGTGAGGATGGATACCCTGGATAGCAGGGGGAAGAAGAAGACGTCAGATGATGATGATGATATTTGATTGTACGAGCAAGCGATGGCGATATGCGAGGTCAGTATGCGACGTTTGTCTATGGCATTGCCTGAAGGTGGTCAGGCGTGCCTTATTTGTTGTTTTATTGTTTTCTTCTACCTTATACATTGTATGCTTTGATCGATGTCATTATTATACAACAAAGGATGGCGACCGTGGTGCCGCCGTAAATGCATTTCCACGACGAATACCCACCGCCATTATGCTTCCTCTTAAGGTTGATCTTCTTCACCGCGGGCCCAATTATGTTAGAACGCTTCCACACCGGCTGGCCTCCCAAACCATGCCCCCAGCTCATCCGACTCCATTCCCCGATCCGACGAGACAAAGTAATCCGTCATGCGGTTGGTCTCACCGTCATCTTCCACCGGCCACTCGACCTTGACGCCATTCTTCCCCTCCACCATGTCCTTGGCCGTCCCCCAGCTGAACCTGCACTCGGGGCCCCATCCAAAGATGGGGTGCATGTTGTTTTTCAGCCACGTCACGCACCTCGCATCGGAAGGATAACCCGACCCCCACGCCATGGCCTCGTCTCCGTCCTCCGCTTCCGTTCCACCGCGCTCCTCGCCCATTGTTGCGGCCCGGTGGGCTCGGTACAGCACCTCGAGCGCCGCATCCCTGGTGACCTTGGCGCAGACGGACGCCGCCGAGACGCAAGGGTAGAGGCTGTCGGCCTTCTTGGCCACGGTGATCTTGACGCCCGGGAACACGCGCTGCAGCTTGGCCTGGTACGCGGCGGGCTGGCCGACGGTGTCGACGAAGATCTCCTCGACGCGGACGCCGCGGGCTATGACGCCGCGGATGATCTCGACGGTGGCGTCGAAGGCCTGGGCGTTCAGGTTGTAGGGGTTGGCGGTGGAGAGCATGCCGGCGGCGATGTCGCGGGCGGAGAGGGCGCGGATGGCAAAGCCGCAGGAGGTGGCGAGGTCGGAGGTCGGGTCGCAGAGGATGCGCATGAGGTTTATTCGGGCGGCGGGCGTGAGGGCTTTGGAGTCGTCGAAGCGGTGGGTTTGGCGGAGGAGAGGGTCGGAGAGGGGGACGGGGACGTAGAATGCGGAGTAGACCATGGGTCCTAGGACCGGTCCTCGGCCTGCTTCGTCGATGCCTAGGAAGACCAGAGGGGAGTCTGGAGAGGCTGTGGTTTCGGGTCTTACTGTAGCCGCGTTGTCTGGTTGCGATGACGAAGAGGAGGAAGCAGTCGGGAGGAGACTCGGGGGGATGGGGGAGTAGTAGGTGTATGAATCTCCAGCAAGGGTAGCGTTCTGGTCGACCGAGGGAGGGATGAATATAGTAGACGGTGGCGTCTCGAGCGCAATGTCCTCTTTCATAGAGACGTCCTCCATCGTGCGCTGTGTGGCTTGGAGTAACTATCGAGAGGAATCCAGGGCGAAACGGAAGTTGTAGAACTCGAGGCTCGAACAAGACGGAAAGTTGGGGGAGAAGCTGGGAGACAAAGGTGGGACCGAATATCGGAGTATTTGAGTCCTAAAAGAACCAGATTGCAGTTGTTTAGGTTACACAAATGTAGAGGAACAATTGCTGGTGACGAGCCCTCTGGAAACTATCTAGTTTGTATGTTCTCGAAAGGTGGGAAAGGTGGTTGGAGACCCCTCGACGCGTCCATTCCCTTCGACGCGTTAGGCGTTTAACCGAGTCCCACTAATAAACAGCGCCTGACCTGGAACGCGACTGCCACTGACAAAGCCCCCCAATTACAGTGGAATATGGGCATCATTAGCCACGACGGTAGAGCTTCAGCTTCCACCCACCCCCAAAACACTACCTGTCCACTACCTTATTCAAGTACGTTCAGAATACAGAAAATCGTGGGAAACCCCCGGCTTCGGAAAACTTTCAAAGGCATCGGTAACCGACACGGTAACGAACGATTTTTCCGGTGTTAAATTTCCCACGCGGTTTCGAAGCTCGGCAGCTTGCGCCACCCAACATTTGCCATGGCTCCACGCGCCGGGGGCAGGCGGAAAGAGCAAGCAGCTAGCGAGTATCGCGAGCTCGGTGTCGTAGGACGGTATGTCGCGATCGGACACGGTCTATTTTACGGCGCGCGATTCAGTCTAACTCGTATGGATGGTGCAGGAAAACTGGCATTGGACTACCGGATACTGGTGAACGCGACGAACATGGCATGGCACCCATCGACGGCCTCTTCTCGTCACCCGAGAAGCAGGATCAGAACGGCGGCTCCGATGATGACGTGACGCGTGGAGAGCAAGATATGGAAATTGAGTCGGGTACGCTGTTCCCACGTCCTTTCTACGTGCTTTCTTTAGATGATGCGCCGGAGTTACTAATCCTCACTCGTTCCACCCCCGAAACAGACGCAGGCCCAGGTCCCATGTCGGTCATGAAGGGTGCGCATAGGTTGCTGCCCCGAGGCACTTCCCCGCGAAAGACCAACTTTCAATCGCCCGCTCTCCGAAACCCTCACATCGGTCGCTCCTCGTCACCAGCTCGCGGATCCGTCGTCGATACCGAGTCCCCATCAGAGAGTACACCTGTGGCGCGCAGGCTGGACTACGGTGCGAAAACGAACGGGTCGCGGCCCCACGGTACGCGTGGCAATAAGGCAAATGCCGCTAATTCAGCCACAAGGTCCACGAGCCCAGATGAGGGGGAGGAGGAGGAGGACGACGAAGAGGAAACAATCCTGCGCGGCCAACAACAACAGCAACAACAACAAGATGCTAGTGCGGAAATGGAGGTGGTTGATGAATCACTTCAAATGGTCGATGTCGACCAAAGGCCAGAGGCCGAAGGACCCGATGTCGAAGACGCCGAGTCACCCGAGCCCGAGCCCGAGCCAGAACCTGTAGCTGCGAGTCGACCGAAAAAGAGGGGCCGGCCAGCAAAGGCAGCCTCGCAGGCAAAGACTAAGGCGCCTTCTGCCGTTCGGGAAGAATCTATGGTTGAAGGAGGGACGTCTGAGTCTGAACCAGAACCCCCTCAGCCCGTCGTTCCCCGAAAAGGTCGGCCTGCCAAGAAATCGCAGGCCAAGGGCACCGAAAAGAACGTGTCCGAGTTACAACAAGGGACCAAGCGTCGTCGACCGCACGAACCAGCCGGTGAAGAGCGGGATAAAGATGATGTTGAAGCGCAGAAGGCCCAGGAGGCCCAGAAGGCTCAGAAGGCCCAGAAGACCCAAAAGAGCCAGAAGGTGCAAAGGGTGCAGGAAGAACAGCCAGAAGAAGAACGGGAAGAACAAAAGGAGCAGGAGCAGGAGCAGGTGGAAAGCCGGTCGTCAAAACGACAACGCACAGAGGATAAAACTTCCAACCCAGATCGGCAAGGGAAATCCAAGGGTACGCAGTCGAAGACGTCCGCAGCTGAGGCAACGCAAGGCGCTGGTTCCCAGGCCAAAGAGCCGGCGAATGCGATAAAGCGCAAACGCAAACTGGGACAGTCAGACGTTGGAGACGATTCGATCATGGGCAAAGTGCAAAAAGGTCCACCTCTGCCGAGGGTCCGAGGGCTGGTCTCTTTACAACGCAGTAACGATGTTATCCGCACACGGTCTGGCCGCCAGTCATACCGTCCGTTGGCATACTGGAAAAACGAGCACGTCGTGCACGACGAGGACGACGTATGGGAAGACGCGGTCTCGACGAACAGGAGCAAGCACCACTCCAAGTTCCTGCTCCCCAGCGTCAAGGAGATTGTGCGCGTGGAAGAGGAGGAGGCCGCGCCGGCGAAGAAGCGGTCGCAACCGAAGAAGAAGACCAAGACTTCTTCTGATTCCCAGCGACGCAGAAAAGAGGAGGCCGAGGAACGCGAGGAACGCGAGGAACCCGAACCGTGGGAGCTGGACCAAGGCCGCATCGAGGGCGAGGCCGTCATCTGGGACCCGGACTACGAGTTCAACCCGCCGGCGCCGGACGAGCCGGTGGCGTTCGAGCAGAGCGAGATTGCCATTGCGGCCAACGCCATCCAGACGCGCGAGATTCGCGACGCGACGTTCCGCTTTGCCAAGCTGCTCAGTCTCCCCTTCTTCGGCGCGGGCGTCGTCGACTTGCCGCCCGGTACGGAAAAGAAGCCCAAGAACTCGCGTAAGAACCAGATGACCTTCTTCGTGCACTACGGCAAGGTGCTCGTCACGGTCAACGAAACCCAGTTTAGGATCAGCGCAGGCGGGTTTTGGAATGTTCCGCGAGGTGAGACACGGATTGCATTTCATCGGGGGTTCCCCCTTTTCTTTCCTTCTTTTTTTTTTTTTTTTTTTTTTTGGTCCCTACAACAGCACTGACGAGTACCGGCGCATTACAGGCAACTATTACAATATCCAGAACGACTACGATCAACCAGCACGTCTTTTCTTCTCTCAAGGGAGTGAAGTGGTGGTTGCCGAGCCTGAGCCCAGAGCAGACCGCACGGGGGATTTGACGCAAGCCTCATAACGCTTCCCCCACGCGTCCTATTGTGAACCCATTTCAAAGTGTGGGATACAGAAGTCCCCCGAGATGGCAGAGTAGTGTTTTGTTCATTTTGGATGGGCGGACATGGTGATTTTTGTGATCATACACCTATGGTTTTGCAAAGGGCCAGTTGGACGAGCTTGTTTCGCAAGACCCGGCCTTATCCATTGGGGAAGTCGATCGGTGTTCCGGTCTTGTCCTGAATCCTGAACCAGTAATGTAAAGAGAAAAGGGATCACTGTATTGGCCTGGAGTACGCGGCATGGAGTTGAGGCTAAGGGGGAGTCGGTGTGGAAGTGGACGCTGCAACTCTCACGACCAGGGACGAGGAGGGTAGCTGCACGTTTCATTACAGAAAGCTGGAGGTCTGGGATCTGGTTAGAATGGCGTGTATACGAAATAGTAACCCCAAGGCATCTGGATGACCGGGGGCGTCGGCCTGCGAGGTATATTCAACAGTGAGGTCGAACCGAATCTCGGCATTCACCTTGCTCAATTTTCCTTGGTCTGCTTGAAATCACGTGATGATGCACCCGGCTTGGAACCAGGACGGCGGTGTCCGTGTCCGTGTCCGTGTCCGTGTCCGTGTTCGTTGTCCGTACGATCGATCGATCCATGGTTGCCACAGATTCCCCTATCTGGGCCGATGACGATAGTACAGAATACGAAGTTACCTCGTAGCAGAGCAAGAGTGGAATTTGGAATTGGTCGGTGTCTATTACTCCGTAGTGCCAATGCGTCGTATGTACGTGTAGTGTACCTTATGGTACCCAACCATTCCAAGCAACCCGAGAACGGGCTGTGGCGAGAACGTTCTACAAATGGTTTCGGAACGCAAATGAACCTTATTTTGTGGAATGGGGGAACGGGTACTCAGTATTCTGTACCTTAGTATTGGAGGCACGAAGTACACGTACGGATAGGTACCTTAGGTGCTCTTGCGAGGACTGTAGGTAGGCAATTCTGGAAAGAAACGAAGTCGAGGGGCAACCACGAAAATTCAAGAACTCTGAAGCTGAGCTCTTAGCTGCGAATGACGACGGTGGGGTCAGCGGGCAACAGACTGGTACGGACGACCTGAAAGGAAAGCAGTACGGATACAAAGCAATAAACTGGTCATGCCATGTAATCCCGAGTACTCCGTAGTACTCCGTAGTAACTGGAGGAAACGAGTCGTAGCTCGAAGAATAAGGTACGGTAGTGTCTTTCGCTCACAGCAAAGGAGCAAAGGAGCAAAGGAAGGTGGGGAGCTGTTGCCCCGCAATGGAAGTGGATGATGTCAAGGTTCGGGGAGGTATTTCCAAAGCTTCAGCGGGACAACAACAGACCTGAGAAGTCGTAGAAGAGAGTACGAGCAGGAGGAAGTCAATTCGCCTCACAATTGGGGTCATCTAGAACCAGCCAGTCAATACGAAAATTTTCGGGTGGCTTCTCGAAAGTGCAAGAAGCAAGGATTGCAGGGGTTTGAATTGGTCCCTGAAGCTGCTGGAACGAGGTGGTGGGGTAACCCTGGAACTGGAAAGAACGTCGTAGAATGTTGGGTACTGCTGCCACAAACTTTTAAAACGATCCCCCGCCAAATCACCACTTACACTCAAGCTCTCTCCTTGACTTCTTCAACACACAACCTCTTATCCCTCCCCGAAAAACCCTTTATTTCTTCCTTCTTCATCTCAAATAGAAGAACGTTTCTTAAACTCCGAATCCCAGAAGGACACGAACCATCACATCGTCTGTACCACCAATACCGCCACAATGTCCGGTCCCGCCGTCGGTATCGACCTGGGTGTAGGTTTTCCTCTGATAGTTATCCTCCTCTTCGACTTCCAGAGGCCCGAGAAGTTTGCACATATTTCAATCAGAGACTAACATGCAATGCCATTTAGACCACGTACTCATGCGTCGCTTCTTTCTCTCATGACCGGGTCGACATCATTGCCAATGACCAGGGTAACCGCACCACCCCTAGCTTCGTCGCCTTCACCGACTCTGAGCGTCTCATCGGCGATGCCGCGAAGAACCAGGTCGCCATGAACCCCCACAACACCGTCTTCGACGCCAAGCGTCTTATCGGCCGCAAGTTCAACGACGCCGAGGTTCAGTCCGACATGAAGCACTTCCCCTTCAAGGTCATCGACAAGAACACCAAGCCCGTCATCGAGGTTGAGTTTAAGGGCGAGGCCAAGCAGTTCACCCCCGAAGAGATCAGCGCCATGGTCCTCACCAAGATGCGCGAGTCTGCTGAGGCCTACCTCGGCGTTCCTGTCAACAATGCTGGTAAGTAGCTACCCTCTTTTTCATCGCTTTTTCTCATTTTTCAGCCACACATTTTGGGGCGGGGAGGCGCAATGTACGATAAAGACTAACACATTCTAGTCATTACTGTTCCTGCCTACTTCAACGACTCTCAGCGTCAGGCCACCAAGGACGCCGGTCTCATCGCCGGCTTGAACGTCCTTCGTATCATCAACGAGCCTACTGCCGCCGCCATTGCCTACGGTCTCGACAAGAAGGTCGAGGGCGAGCGCAACGTCCTCATTTTCGATCTTGGTGGTGGCACTTTCGATGTCTCGCTCCTGACCATTGAGGAGGGTATCTTCGAGGTCAAGGTACGTTTTTTCTTCTTCTTATTCTTCTCCCACTCCTCTCTTGTTCGGTAAAAAGAGCAGAAGCTAACATCAACCCAGTCCACTGCTGGTGACACTCACTTGGGTGGTGAGGACTTCGACAACCGCCTTGTCAACCACTTCGTCAATGAGTTCAAGCGCAAGCACAAGAAGGACCTGTCCAGCAATGCTCGTGCTCTTCGCCGTCTTCGCACTGCCTGCGAGCGTGCCAAGCGTACTCTGTCTTCCTCTGCCCAGACCTCTATTGAGATCGACTCTCTCTACGAGGGCATTGACTTCTACACCTCCATCACCCGTGCCCGCTTCGAGGAGCTCTGCCAGGACCTCTTCCGCTCTACCATTCAGCCCGTCGACCGTGTCCTCACCGACGCCAAGATCGACAAGTCTCAGGTCCACGAGATCGTCCTCGTCGGTGGCTCTACCCGTATCCCCCGTATCCAGAAGCTCATCTCCGACTACTTCAATGGCAAGGAGCCCAACAAGTCCATTAACCCCGACGAGGCCGTTGCCTACGGCGCTGCCGTCCAGGCCGCCATCCTTTCGGGTGACACCACCTCCAAGTCCACCAACGAGATCCTCCTGCTCGACGTCGCCCCGCTGTCTCTTGGTATCGAGACTGCTGGTGGCATGATGACCAAGCTCATCCCCCGCAACACCACCATTCCCACCAAGAAGTCTGAGGTCTTCTCTACCTTCTCCGACAACCAGCCCGGTGTGCTCATCCAGGTCTACGAGGGTGAGCGTCAGCGCACCAAGGACAACAACCTGCTCGGCAAGTTCGAGCTCACCGGTATCCCCCCCGCACCTCGCGGTGTTCCCCAGATTGAGGTCACCTTCGATCTCGACGCCAACGGCATCATGAACGTTTCCGCCGTCGAGAAGGGTACTGGCAAGTCTAACAAGATCGTCATTACCAACGACAAGGGTCGTCTGTCCAAGGAGGAGATTGAGCGCATGCTTGCCGAGGCCGAGAAGTACAAGGCTGAGGATGAGGCTGAGGCCGCCCGTGTCGCTGCCAAGAACGGCCTTGAGTCGTACGCGTACTCGCTCCGCAACACCCTCGCCGACTCCAAGGTTGAGGAGAAGCTTGATGCCTCCGACAAGGAGACCCTCAAGACCGAGATTGACAAGATCGTCGGCTGGCTGGACGACAACCAGCAGGCCACTCGCGAGGAGTATGAGGACCGTCAGAAGGAGCTTGAGGGCATTGCCAACCCCATCATGATGAAGTTCTACGGTGCCGGTGGTGCTCCTCCCGGCGGCATGCCCGGCGGTGCTCCTGGCGGCTTCCCCGGCGCCGGCGGCCCCGGCGGCCCCGGTGCCAACCAGGACGACGGCCCTACCGTCGAGGAGGTCGACTAATTTGATACCCCATTGCACACGGCGATCGTTTCCTAGAGTAGTCATATGACGGATCTCATGGTTGGGAGGCAGTTACGGGGTTCTTCATGATTAGACTCTTTTTGCTCTTGTTATTTTTCATGTTGCGTTCATGGTTGGTCATGATGACGATCAAGGGAAAAAAAGCACGGTTTGCTTTATAGTTCCGGCTGTACTTTAATGAGAAAGAACCAGCTCCCGGTTTTGGGAGCTTCACCGCCCAAATATCAATTGAGGATGGTCACATGAACTCGTACTTGGAAGATGGACACATACACCTTTAGACCCAAGTGCAGTGACATTGTTTACCGTTTTGGCAGTCGCACTTTCATTCCGACTCGAGGCGGTCTGCTTTGTCTGCATTTCCATATTAAGACAGTGACGAGAGTATTGACTTCCTGCGTGACTTTGTACAAGGAATCCTTTCACATTATATTTGTACATATTTCTTCCCCCTTTCCTACGATGCCCGTTCGTCTCCTTCATAGCCCAGTTCCTGCCTGATGCGCCTACGCCTTTCGAGTTCCATCTTTTGCCACTCCTCATCGTTGACGCTATTCTCTCCCAGAGGAGTGGTGAACGCGGTGCCAGGCGGGACCTTGGCGGAGCGGGCTTCCCAGACGTCCTCGCTGCTGGGACGACCGGAGCCGTACTTGGCGTGCTCCTTGTTGCGATAGTGCTCCCGGACGGCCTCGTCCCGGAGGGGGCCCTGGTAGCCCTTGATGCGCATGCAGGCCCAGAAATCGGCCCAGTGGTCGTTGCAGGAGCGGACGGACCCTTCGCGGTAGATGGCGTTCCACTGGCCGCCGACGGACTGGCAGTAGAAGGCCATGTCGAAGGCCTGGCGGCATGACATTTCCGTGGGTAGGAGGGATTCGGCGAGCGGGCTCAGTGTCGGCGCGGGCTCTTGGTCCTCTGGGCCCGGAGGAGCGGTGTTGGCTGTTGGTGAGGGTTTGAGCGGGAGCCATGAGAAGGGGGAGGAAGTGGTTGCGGAAGAGGCGGAGGGTGAGGAGGGTGGTTGCGTTTGTGTTGAGGTTGCTGCTTCGGGTCGAGAGTTGTCTGGTTTTGTTGCGTCGGGCTGGAAGAGGGCCATGAACTTTTGGATCTCGGGGTCAACGTCGTTTTCTGTGGCTTTTGACGAAGAAGAAAGGGGTTGGCTAGAGGAGGATGGTTGCGACGGTGTCTCGTTCTGTGCGGACTGGTCGGGCGCAGGGGATTTGGAAGAAGATTTGGTTGTCCACAGCCAGCCCATTTTGACTTCTCTTGGATGGATAATCTAGATGCTGATGGGAAAAGGCCGTAATGCACCGGTTGATAGTTGGGGTTTGACGATAGAGGATGTTGAATCTAAGGTAAAGAATTCCTGCCTAGGATCGTCTTGAATCGTGACGCGTGCTGCAATAGCGTGGGCAAAGTGTGAGCAGGTCGACTGGCCTTACGATCGCAAATGTAGATCTTCAAAACGATACGATTCTTCTTGGTGTTGAGAAACCGGAGCCATCTTGGCATGCAAAAAATCAGGATATCGGGGTTTCCGCGATGCAATATTGAAATAGCCTTCAGTTGACGGTCTAGCGGGGCTGGTCTGGTTCCGGCCTGTGCTTCCCTTATCTTATCGATTCGAGACCAGGAACGATGACCTCATCACGCTCAACCAAGGTACGGAGTAATTACTTGAAGTACCAGATACCTTAGATAGCCATGTGACGAACTGGGCATCGCGGTTTGAGGCTGCACAATCTTTCCATGCCCTCCGACCCATGTGAGAAGTTGATCACCAATGGCCTCACAATGATACCGAGAAGCGTCGCGTATTGTCCGGCTTTACGGCCTAGGACATGGGCGCCAACCCGGAATGTATCCCTTTTATCCTTCCGGGCAGTAGCCTCTTTATCAACAGAGAGGACAAGACGACGATTTGCTCGGCAAGATTCGGCTGGAGGATCTACGACTGTGTCAAGAGCTTGGAACAGCACTCTTCCGAGTGAGAAGCAGTCGGGTCATATTTCTTCCCAGGAGAACGAATCCATTCTCTTTTTTGACAGTAAGTCGAAGACGACGAAAGTAATCATCCGTCCGCCAGGGCCTTGACGATTGACGAGATATGTAGACATCTTCCCCCTCAGACTCACTTTCCTCTTCAAGCGGCCATGGCAGAGCCATCAGGACATTGCCGACATGCTCGGGAGGTTCAACAGTCCGACATTAGGGTTATTGGATCCTATCAATCTTGTCAAGAGGGCAATTCCGAAGGACATCCCCATCAAGGTCACCGAGATCCTCCCACACCTTAAAGACGGAGGGGCGTTTGTGAAAGTCAGCCATGGGCCAGAAGTCAAGACAGAGGACTTGGAGGGTACGTCATGTCCCCACGGACGAAAAAAATGATGAGTGGCACGCCGCACGACTGACAATCTGAGGGCAGCGTCTCTGACCAAAAAACTCGAGTCGGCGCCTCTCAAGCCTTGGTTTAACCCACTCCGAGGAGTCAAGGCTGGACTTGTCAAGGGCATGCCCTGGCTCGAAGATTTGCACAGGTTTCCCAAATCTCGGCTCAAAGTCGAGTTCATTCCCAAGGATCCCGGAGGCGAGGCTGTTGAATTGTCTCAGGAGGATTTATACAGTCTGTTTCGCAAGTACGGCAAGATTGCAGACATCACTTCCCAGCCGGCCGAGTCAAAAGTAGTGCCCAAGTTTGCCCACCTAGACTTCGCCCTTATTAGGGATGCCATTATGGCCAGGAATTGTCTTCATGGGTTCCTCGTGACCGAGATCCTGGGTGGCGGAAAGAACGGCACCAAGTTGCGGCTTTCGTACGAGCGGAAGGTTAAGGCACACAGCATCTGGAATTGGATCGTCAACCATCCTAGGTTAGTGATTCCCGTCGCGGCTGGCCTACTCGCTGCCATTACGGTTGCCATCTTCGACCCGATCAGGCAGTTTTTTGTCAAGGCACACATTCAACAGACATTCCGCTTGTCGGACAACCAGGTGTACAGATGGCTTAAGACACGGACCACGGACCTCCTCGCTTTTGGACACGGCAAGTCGGGGCAGGACAGCTTCAACGAGGTCTGGAAGCATCGACGGGACCTCATCGAGAAAATACAGACATGGCTACTGGAGAGCTCAGACAATTTCATAGTGGTCCAGGGTCCACGAGGCTCTGGTAAAAAGGACCTGGTTCTGGATCAGGCCCTCAAAGAGCGCAAGAACGTGCTTGTCATTGACTGCAAGCCCATTGTCGAGGCCAGGGGCGAAAGCGGTACGATTAAGAATTTGGCGCAGTCTGTCGGATATCGCCCAGTCTTCTCCTGGGCCAACAGCATGAGCAGTCTCGTCGACCTCGCTCTGCAGAGTACAACAGGAGTGAAGGCCGGCTTCTCCGAAACACTCGAGTCGCAAGTGACCAAGATCCTACACACGTCGGCGGCCGCGTTGAAGGAGGTGTCGCTTTCTGGACGGCAGAAAGATGACAAGGACGCCGACATATCCGACGACGCCTATTTGGAGGCCCATCCCGATAAGAGGCCGGTCGTGGTTATCAACAACTTCCTCCACAAGAGCGACGAATCTACCATCGTGCACGAAAAGATGGCGCAATGGGCCGCCCTGCTCGTGCAGAATAACGTGGCCCACGTCATCTTCCTGACGAGCGATACGTCGTACCCGAAGACTCTCTCCAAGGCGTTGCCCGATCGCGTTTTCAGACAGATTGCCCTGGGCGATCTCTCTCCGGATATCGCCAAGAAGTTTGTGGCAAGCCGGTTAGAGGCCGACGACGACGGGTCGAGGCCGAAGGAGGGAGATGGCAAGGAATGGGCGCGGCCTAATCTCTCCGAGCTTGACGATTGCATTGAGCAACTCGGCGGACGCCTGACGGACCTCGAATTCCTCGCCAGGCGCATCAAGGGAGGCCAGACGCCAAGGCATGCCGTCGACGAAATCATCAGCCAGAGCGCCACGGAGATCGTCAAGATGTTCTTTCTCGGTAGCGCTAAGAACGACTCCGGCGGCCGGACGTGGTCTACCGAACAGGCGTGGTACCTCGTCAAGTCGCTTGCGCGCCACCGGAGCCTCCGCTACAACGAGATTCTCCTGTCCGACACCTTCGCGTCGTCCACCACGGCCGATGCCACCGACGGCGAAGCGGCCCTAGAGGGGTTGGCGAACGCGGAACTCATCACCGTCAAGACACAGCACGGACGCCCGCAGACGATTTCCGCGAGCAAGCCCATGTATCAGGCCGCGTTTGGTATCCTGGTGGCCGACCGGGTGCTACAGGCCAAGATGGACCTGGCGGTGCTGAAAGAGCTGGCCAAGGTCGAGAACCGATCCATCGAGAGAGTCGAGAGCGAGCTGGCGGTATTGAGCACTCTACCGAAGCAACCTTCGCAGACGGGAGAGCGGATCTCGTATCTTCTCGGCAAGCTCGAGGGGAGCCAGCGGAAGATTAACGAGTATGAGAAGGAGATGGGGAAGCTGAAGAAGGTACTTTCGCAGACGGACTGAAGCGCCCGAAGTGCGGTGTAACTCGAGGTCCGCGGATCCTGTCTGTGTACGGATAAAACCACAGTTGCATGTCTTGAGCAGCTGATTCTCTTCTCACATGGATTTGGTAGGAATTATGTGCTCCTCGTCACCCACCGTGTATGTATATTCAAAGCAGAGCAATTCTTTATAGGCACCCTGAAAATTCTCAAGCATCTTAATCGCATTGGCTCGAGTGCATTGGCGGGAGGTGAGAGGTTAAGACACCGAAAAGGCTAGGTTTTTCCCCGACGACACCTGGAGGAGTTGAGCCGAGAGCGCCAGGGAAGTTGGGTCTCTTCATCTTGGGTGTCAGAGGGCTTTTCTGTCCTCTTCGTCTCTATGACGTAGCAGCATGGTAACTTCCATCGTGACCTCCCTGGCCAGTACTCGAAGGCGTATCCATCCCTAAGGTAGACAGGATTTGTTAAAATTGTGGCTTCCAGGAGGCGGGACCGCTTACTAAGATTACCGGCTCTCTCGCTAGGAGTTGTTGATACTTTGGTATCTTGTTATTAATAAGAATCTCAAAGCAACGATCAATCCGTTCTCCATACGAGTCCAACAGCCTTAAACAAGGTCGCAAAACACAGACAAAAGATTACAAGATGCTCATCCAAGAATCATACGCAGATGTGACCACGTCGGCCGATGGGAAAGAAGGATCCATGCGTAAGCTTCATTGAAATCTCAACTCAACTCGGTCCGTTCATTATTCAGTAACCAAATATATCGCTCTCAGGGATCTACCTCTTCCACCCTGCCATCCCTGGCTACCCCAATGCGTAAGTTATAACGGAAACCCATCTGCTCCAGACGGTGATATATTCCTCAAAATTTCTCCCGTAGGAAATTCCCCGGCGTTTGTCTCTTCTCCGAGATCTATCAAGGTACGTTCACGCGCTGAAATTTGAAGCTTGAGATTTATGGCGGGGTAATTCTCGGTGAGCGTTCGACCCCGCCATCTCGGTCAAGGACGACTCACCGAGAGGGAATCCCCTCTCTGACCACTTACACCACACCAGCATCTGCCCTCGTGGCTTCATTCTCTTCCCATACCGAAACTATTTGACGCAAAAGCTGAGAGAATTGATGCAATGGCTTACCATCTCCATTCATAGTCACCGGCCCGGTAGCCCGCTTTGCCCGCCAGATCGCAGGCCAAGGCTACATTGTCGCAGCGCCCTCGTCCTACCACGACTTCACCGGTCCCGAAGCCCTGGCCTATGACGGCCCAGGTACTGACAAGGGTAACGCCTGGAAGGTCGAAAAGGTATCCGACTCACAGCATTTTTCCCCCCCCCCCCCCCTATACCACTCTACCTACGCCTGAGAACTCTGTTCACTGACCATACTGCCGTCACAGACCCTCGAGTCCTACGATGAAGACTCCCGCCGAACTGTCGACTACCTTCTCAGCCTGCCTACTTGCACGGGCCTGATCGGTAGCACCGGCATGTGTCTTGGCGGCCACTTGGCTTTTCGTGCGGCTGTACGTCTGTCTGTTCTGTTTGTCTTTCACCGATTATGATTTCCCTTAATGTGCCTTGCTTCGTGTCACTCTACTATCCGCCTCTTCCCCCCTCTCCCCCCCTCTCCCCCTTTCTCTTGACCTGCCCTCGAGTGAGGGGAAATCGGGAGAACCCGTTCATTCCGCACCAACCCGACCCAAGTCAGATGACTAACCGCCCGTTAAAAAAAAACCCACGTTCCGCCCAACCAGCTGGATCCCCGCATCTCCGCCGTAGTCTCCTACTTCCCAACCGACATCCACTGCCGCACCCTCGGCCCGCACTCGGCGAAGAACACCTCGCCCCAGGGGAGCAACCACACCATCGACCTCCTCCCGCGCCTGGCCTCCCACGGCGTCGAGGCCGCCATGATCTTCGGCGTCCACGACACCCACGTCCCCGCCGACGGCCGCGACCTCATCCGCTCCAAGCTCCGCGACGCCGGCGTCGTTTTCAGCTTCTACGAGTTCGCCTGGGCCCAGCACGCTTTCATCCGCGACGAGCTCAGCAAGGGCCGCTATGACCCCGCCATCTCCAAGATCTGCTTCGAGGTCCTTCTTGAGCTGTTCGGTCGCGCTCTCAAGACGGACTTGGGGCCGAGGGAGGGCGTTGGCGAGGTTGAACACGTGTGTTGAAGTGGACGAGTTAAGGCTCGTCATCCCTGTGATGCGATTACCCGGTTGATCGGTCAATAATTGATACACGCTTTCGTCGGTGTTTTTGGAAAACCTCCATATATTTTATCATTTCATGAATATCGTCTCCTGACCCAACCAATTTTGGTGTCCCGTGTATCTATTAACAAACAGCATTGTCCCCCGCATTGCACTCCTGGTCAGGTTTTATCTACTATTGCTTTTACTCACTAAAATCCCCATCCATCTCTTCTTCTGGTTTCGCGACTATGTTTGCCCCGCCGAGTCACTTAATTAAGGCTCAATCCATGTCCAAACCCCCTTATCGCTGGGGACCAGGATGGGGAGGGCCCTGAGGGGGTGGCCCGAACGGCGAGGGACCTTGTTGTGCCCGCTGATAAGGTTGGAGCTGGGGCTGGCCCTGAGCCGGCGTCAGGGTCTGAGTCGCGGTTGGCTGGTTGGCGGTATTATAGTAGCCGCCGAGCGCCCCACTATAAGGCGAGTCGCCGCTCGTCTGAGCCTCTTCATCGAAAGGCGGCCCACCGTGCGCCCTCGACTGCGACCGTTGAACGATGGGGGAGTTCGGGTTGGTTGTGGGTGACTGAAGGGAAATGGTGTCGCCAGCCCTGCGCTTGCCGCGCGTGCTAGATCTGTTCATAAGATCCAATTGCAAGCGCTGCACATCCTGGGAACGGCGGGTGTCCTCCGATGTCCTGCTTCGCACCCCCGAGAGCGGCTGTGCGTCGCTCAGTCTGTAGCCCAACTCGTCACTGATGCGGGTTTCGGCGGAGTTGAGCCCCGCGGCAGCCTCCCTCTCCTTGGCCGAGCCGGTCTTGCTCGCAGTCGAGTCCCGTCGTGTCAGCTTCGGCACCATGCGAGCCGTATCCTTTTTATTGGCCGACTCCTCGCGAGCTGCAGCAGCCACCTCGTCCGAGACGGAGACCGTGTACGAAGGATTGGCAGGGCCACCGAGCGCATCGCCGCCGCCGCCAGGGGCGAAAATGGGCACCTTCTTCATGGCGAGCGTCAGAGCGCACATAAACTTGGAGCGGCGGGTGGCGCGGATCGCTTCGTTGTGCCAGTTGCCCTTGTGCTTGACAGACACCACGAGCACTAGCTTGTCAAGATCGCCCACGCCATCGACCGTCATGGACACATCGGGCTGGAAGTCGCGCGAGTTCTCTGGCAATCTGACAAAGGCCTCCATTTCATGACGGAGAAGTTCGATGTCCTCGAAGGAGGTATCGAAGGAGATATTGACGGTGATGTCTTCTTTCATGTGCTTGCTGCGCGAGATGTTCTCGATCCAAAGGTTGTTGAGTACGATATTTGGGACCTGAAAAAAGAAAACTGGCATTAGCCTCACGGGGGAGCTCCACTCTCGCTGTTTTCCGTTTTTTTTTTTCCCCGTCTCCCACATACCTGAACAACCTGCATCTTATCAATGCGGGTAAAGACTGAGTAGAGAAGAGAGATCTTGTCGACGACCAGGCGCTGCTTCTCGGGTCCGACAATGTCGACGCGGTCGCCAACATCGAAGGGATGCTTGACAAAGAGGAAGATGCAAGAACCGAGGAACTCCTGAGCCGTGACGGCGAAGATGAACGAAAGGGAGAGGAGGGCGGTACCGGCCGTGGCAACCGTGGTGAGCAAGCTAGACTGGAACCAAGCGAGGAAGATGAAGATGACGATGAGCAGGACGACGAACATCAGGACCTTGTCGAAGACCCGGAGGGCTTGGCCAATGTCCTTCATCCCCTCGGTGATGGCCTTGCGCTCCCTGCTCACTTCCACTACTTTCCGGCTGATCTCCTCGAGGCTGATGTCCCCGTTCATGTCGCTGTCGATGGCGTTGAAAGCCTCTTCGGCCTCTAGTTTCTTCTCGGGGCCGAGGACCTCCTCAACGTCTTCCAGATACAGGGCGTCATTGCCCTCGCAGACGAAGGCCATCCAAATGCGACGGGCAAGGGCCTGCGACGGCTTCGGCTTCTCCAGAGCCTCGATGACGATCGAATGGGCCGAATTAGGGTTGAACACCTGTCTTCCTGTAATCTCGGACGCGACGTTGCCGAAGGCAGCTGTAACCTTGTCGCCGATACGGCCGATGTTGCCGACGAACTTGAGAGGCGTGGCAGCGGTGCCGATCTTCTTGCCCGTCTGGGCGAAAACAGAATCGGCAATGATGTAGTCGTCCTCCTCGAACTCGGGGCAGTACATCGGGAAGAGCTTCCTGGAGGCATCGTAGAGCAGACCAAGCAGGTAGACGTCACGCTTGCACGCCTTGATTCGGAGGGCGAAAGACCGCTGATGGTACGAGATGCCGATGAGCTGGACGAGGGCCTTCTCAACGAGGTAGACAATGGACGAGATAAACAGGGCGCCGAGGACGCGGCCCAGGGTCCTCACCCAGGGGAATCCGTCCTCAAAGCGGCCGAACAGGCCTCGGAAGGTGAGCCAGGACGCGAGGGCCCAAAAGAAGAGGGACAAGGGAATCTGCAGGTTCTGCAGCACGGTGGCATACTTGCGAGTGCCAGAGCTGACAACGCCGATGAGAAACATGAAAAGCCGGGGGAGGAACCAGGCGACCAATTTGCCGACCCAGAGGGTGAGCCAGGCGATCTCGATCCAGAGGAAAATGTTGAATAGCTGGGGGCCGTGGCGACGTTCGCTCTCATCTTCGGGCTGGATGCCGACGCCGACGACAAACCTATCCTTGAGGCCGAGGACGGGGAGGACGATGAGGGGCACGGCAAGCAGAACGGCGACGGGAATGATGTAGACCAGGTAGCGGGTGACGACGGAGGCTCCGACGATCTTCTTGTATAGGCGGCCCATAGCATTCAGGGACACCTCATTGCCTGACCCGTCCGTCCCGGCCCTGCTCAGTCCACTGTTCTTCCTCCGGCGGCCGGCGCCGGCGCGGCGGTGGAGGTGGGAATGCTTCTCGTTGTTGGTGGTGCTAGAGGTCAGGCTGTCCTGCGCGACGCCGGCGCCCATATTTGGCCGGCGGGCGCCGGTGGAGCTGGCGTGGCTCTTGACTTGGGTCAAAGGTATCTCGTGGTCGCGAGCCATCTCGTTGGAGTGGCTTCTGCGAATTTGGACAAAGCCGCTGTTTCGGGAAGACAAAGGCATCAGAGCCGCCTAGGTGATGGCAACGGTGGAAATAAGGAGGGGGGGCTGGTCTGAGAACCAAGCGTGAGTGTCCGCGTCGTCCAGAGGAAGAGGCTCGTGTATTATTGTTTCGAGGGCCGCGTGCCAAAGACCCAAATCCCGGGCTGGGGGTGTCGGAGTGATACAGCTGCGAAGTCTAGCCTCTCGTGCTGTGACGGCGAAGAAGAAGAATTGAGATCAAGCGTGAGCGAGTGTATGTAATGGTGATTTACCTCGTCCTCCGTCGAGTTGTAGCGGACAAGCCAGTTCCGGAAACGACTGACGGTAGGAAAGGCCCTCTTACAAGGAGGATTTCTCAGCAGTGTAAGTAAATAAGGGGGACAAGAAAAGAGAGTATGAAGAAAGAACGAGATCTGACCCGGCGGGTAGGCACGAAGATGATAGATATTATGTCAAGAAGGGCAAGCGAGCGTGGGGATCAACACCAGAGCATGCTTGCAGCTGGCTGTGAAAGGAAACTAAGTTGACGGTCGTAGACGGTCGTAGACGAAGCGGTGGAGAAATATGGAGAGAATGAAGAACGAAAAAGGCACGAAGTGGGTGGGAAAATACAGCTGTAGGTAGGAACGTGGTTGGCTGGTGGGATGGGTCGCGATCTTGGTAGTTACGTGTACAGGTGGTGAGGATGGAACTTGCAGGGGGGTTGCGTACGAATACCTGCATGTACTAATGCAAGTTCCCCTTCTTTACGTACCTTCTTAATAGGTATACATCCCAAAGCCGTCAGCACAATGGGGGTTTGACAGTACCCAGTACAGCGCTAAAACTACACAATACATAGGTGGGTCCAGGGTCTCGATCTCGCAGAAGTGGTTGGCAGAATGTCTGCCGTTCGACTTCCCACTCCGTTTCATGCTACGCGCTGCCGACCCCGAACCCCGTAATTACTTCATAGGTTTTCTCTACAATGCGCAGGGAGAATGAAGAATTGATATTTACGAGCAATTGGTATCACTTTGTTTATTTTATTTATTGTATTATCCACCATTTATTCTGACTTACAAGGAAATCAAGTCGTCTTCATAGCATCTAGTTAACGAACAAAGTTGTGAGATAAGTTGACATACGTTGTACGCCCAAGACCAGGGGCGGAGCCGTTGACAACAGCTGAACCGAGGGCGCCAAAAATGAGACCAAAAATACGAATCTACAACGTAGACCGAGCCGAACCAAAGGGAAACAGAGTACCTTAAGGTAGGTAATTAAGTACCAACGGCGTACGTACATCGGTACCTAATGCGTACGAATACACTAGGCACCTACCTTACCTTAGTTTGTGAGGTGGAAAGAGAATCCTGGACTCTCATGGAGGTGCCCCTCCAGGGGTTATTAACCCGTAAATCTCGAAGGAACGACTTTTAACACGGCACTTGATCGTTTCAAATTTGACCCGAAACGAGCCAATCTCCGTCTAAACCCACCCTTGGAGCATAAGCTTTTGGGAGCCGCTCGCCCTTGCTTGCTAGCTTCCCAGTGGGAAGTTCCCTGAACGGGGCCCCTGATAAAAATCAAGCCACGGCCCCGGGTTACCACCCTACAATAAAAAGCTGACAACGTACGAATAAAGGAACGGACGAGTCACGACATCAAGCCGCTGGCTTCTCACAAACGCATCCACAGAATTCGGCAGACTCCGTACAACCTTAGGTAATGAGTCCAGGACTAAATGGACAGGACATCGTGGGGAGAGAAAAAAATCTCTGGCCCTGTGAGCAGCCTGGACTATATCGTCGGTACCTAAGGTACCTTAGTCACAATAGGTACCGCTGCCATCCGCGCGCTTACCGAGTTGCGAAGTAACCCATACCCCATGAGAGAACCCTGCCCATAGGAGTCTAATTCGAAACCTCTCAAATGAAGGACCCGGATCGAGGAAGCAATGCCTGCCGCGTGAATGGATGTTACCGAGAGATGGGATGCAGAGAGGCGGATCTATGAATAGATCCCGATGCCATCTCTGTCGATCGCAAAGCTGTCCTAATATTCGCAAGTTATGGTCATTTTGTTTTTCTGCTTCACTCGGAGGAGACCAAGAATTGATTCTAGACTGGGCCACGAAATGATTCTCAGCTGGTCGTCTTTGGACGAAGGGGTTGGTAATATTCTTCATCTCCACTCTCGCCCCTGTCCACAGGCAGGGAACCGCCAAGAAAGGGTGTCTGGCGGTCTAGATCTGTACCCATTGAGTGGCCAGCAACCAACTACGAACCAACTACTTGAAGGCGTGAACCGCCAGCAGACACCTTGGGTCTTGAGAACCCGATCCCAGCTGGATCGATCAGCCCAAGTGGACCTACGATGTGAATACCAGACGGCGGCTCAGTCGGTGCATTCCTTGGTGTATTTAGCGCCCATGGCCACGCCGTGGGGCAACCATGACCTGTCCCCCTTGGGAAATACATTCTACTCCGTATAGTGGTGCCACCCTTTGGTACGCATCAGAACCGCATCGCCAAGACGAGCGATGATGCCAGAGGAAGTTGCCGAACTGAGCCCTTCCATTACTATCGCATCGTGCAATTCTGGCTCCATCGCCACAAGACAAATGCCCCCATTGAACGCAGCCAGGTAGATGTAAAAGCACCCTCGGGTATCTATCTCCCTTGAATCTCACATATAGTAACACGTACAGTCCTTAGCCACCCGTGGCAAGAATGGAGAAGGTAGTTTCCTTCATTTGCCACGACTCTTGATGGCATGCAACCCCTTATTCCCACCCTAGGAAACCTGACAGGACACAAGGCGTATTCACCGAGATACACCAAGTCTAAACCGACTACTCACGCTCGCAATCCGACGCCGAGAGAATGGACGTCTTTCCCAAGCCGTCTAGGTAATGCCCCGGCTACCTAATTTCCCGCCTGGTCATGAAGTAAGACTTTAGCGACGCCATAGGGTCGCCTTTAACTCCTCCAACTGCTTGTCCTTAGACTGCACTTCCCTCAACAAGTCCTCATACTTCTTCTTCCAGTCGTCACTTTCTTCGTCTTGTCCGTTGTCCTCGGAGCCTTCGGGGCCTTCGGTGCCACCGTCCTCCTCGTCGACATCGTCTTCGCGAGTAAGATCGACGGGCGGAGCTATGTTAGGCAAAACGAACGGTGGTCCGGTACTCTCCGCGTTCTGCCGAGGATCAAGACGACCGTGAATGGTAACGGTTCGAGGAGGCGGTCCTGGTGGAGGCGGGGTGGGTGCTATGGTGATCGGTGTAGGAGCTGCACTGGCACTGGTGGCCGGTGTAAAGCCACCGCTATTCGGGGCCGCTAGGTCCTCCCTGAGCAAAGCGTCCAGGGTAGGGAAACCTGAAAACGGCAACTGAGTAGAAGGGCTTTCGTTGCTCCGCGGCCTGCCACGACCCTTTTCACCAGTACCAGTACCCCCTAGCCCACGGCTCCGCCATGCGGAAGACACCACTTTGGCCCCGTATCGCCGCTGATGGCATTTCTCTCCCTGGATATCACGGGCCGGCATGGAGGTGGACATAGAGCCCTGCGGGGCGGGAGGCAGAGGTGTCGGGGCAGTGCCCTGAGCCTGAGCTGTCCTCCTGCGGCGGGAGGGAGGCGCCGTGCCCTGTTCAGCATCATCAGCGCGTTTCCTGATGGGCTTCGGACGCAGCTGTGGAATAAGAGCGCGCAAAGCCATGTCGTCCACGGGTGCGACCCCGTCCCTCCCGCCACGCTGGATAGGGTTGGGATCGGTGGGAATCGCGGTCCAGTACGGGTGAGGGAGACCCATGAGGAATTCGAAAAAGGCGTCAACGTGCATGGCGTGCATCCAGCGCTGAAGAGGCCGAGAATGGAGGAGCCAGAGTTAGCAGAAGCTCGTGTCCAAACATGAAGAACGGGCAGCATGCCCGGTCGAGAGTCAGTATCTCATGAAACAAGATTACCTTAAGCCTCACGGTGTACGACTGGACCTTGTGGGGGCTCTCGCCCTTCTCCCTGTCGGGAGGATCGACTCCGAGCTTAAGAGCCACATCGGCCCAGGTCTTCAGCTCCCTCAGTTCGAGTTGACGGACCAGTAGAAACAAGTTGAAGGCATCGAAGGACTTGCCGCCGCTCTTAGGCAAAGCACGGAAGGAGTCTCGAAGGGCGGTAGTGTCAGTGCCCTGAGGGATGGCGGGATTGCAGTACAGGATGAAAGATGGATATGCATCATCAATCGTTTCGGCGGTAACATTGCGGTTGGGCAGAGGTCGGTGCCCCACTAACCCGGAGGTGGACGACCGACCTGTCCGGGCGGCCGGTGGCATTGGTGGCGACGTGCGGGTAGGGGTCGGAGGTGAGGGTATCAGGCATGCAACATATGACTACCTTGCTTTATATTGATAAATGAGGGACGCGATGCGAGTGGCTGGGGCTGCCCCTCAACTGAATAGCTCGGTACCTGGCTCGTGACCTCGGGAGACCTATCCGAAGAGATGAGAGTGAGGATGGCGCGAGAAAAGATGAGAGATGTGGTTGCGTGGGTTCGGAGCTTGGACAACCCGACTCGGTGAAGTCGGCGAGAACGCGTCTCCTTGTCTCTTGCGCCTGTCTCGGCGTGTCGGGGAATCATGTGTCAACCACGCGAAGAAGCAAACGACCCAAGCAGGGTTCTTAGGGATGCTGAATAAGCAAGTGGTGGGCTAGCTTGAGGTGCCTTACTGTAGGAGAACATAAGGTAGCTCCTCGAAGAAATTAAGGTACTCCGCAACTTCGCGAGTATTATCGACTCTCCTTTTATTACAGGTACAGTACCTTATCTATTGTACGGCTCGGTCGAGCTATTCGTACCAAGCCGATACCTGTTGAATAGATTATATAAGCAGCAAAAAGTGCCCTACGATTACGTTGGGATATCCCTTTTGGCGTAGTGGTAAAATTTTGTCTGTCTGACAATTAAGAGCCTCACTTGCTAAGTGAAGACCTCTATCCTTTACCCTTACTACTACCGATTGAAAAGCTATCTAGCTACGCCGATATAGCGAGTCTTTCTACAACCATCAAGATGTCGCACTACAACCCAGTAACCTATAAAACCTATCGCGATTGGGAGCTCTGGCGTAGCCACTACGAGGCTACTGCCGTCAATAATAACGTGTGGGATTATCTACGGCCTGACGATCCTATTCCCCCTCCTCAAAGGCCTGCTTTGCCTTCCTACGACGCCTTCCAAGCTTCGAACGCTATCATACAAGCAGGCGCCACGCCTACGCAGCTATCAGATCTGTCCGCTACTGGACAGCGCTCCTACGAATCGGCGATGGAGCGTTGGGAGATACAGAGGGATGACCGCGCTGAATACCACAAAGGCATCAACACCGTGCTAACGTGGCAGACCAATACTATCCACAAAAGCCGTAAGATGCTCCTGCGCAACGCCACCCCTCAAGAGGTGTACGAAGCTGTTCAACGCGATGCAGCTCCCTACCTATGTGGCCACGCGCCGCGTGGACACCTACGAAGAGTATAACGAACACGTCCGCACTGTGTCGAACAGACCATAGTCTTTTCGGTTACGTAACGGGCCGGATTATCAAGATTACAATCCGGGTGGACACCTGTAGAATCTGCACCACATAAAATACGGGGGCAGCGGTTCCCTACCGGTCGGACACAGTTATAACAGTACACAATTGCCTTAATCAATTTTGACCTATTTTGTGGCGTTTTGACTACGCTATATTTGACAATTAAGAGTCTTAATCCCTGCTAAGTAAGCCACCTGGCTTAAGTTCGAAACGTGAAGCAAGTCAAAGGACAAAAAGCACGATCTTAGCCTGTAGATAAGGATTAAGATTTAACGTGAACGTCCAGCTTTCTCGGTTATCCAACTAAGCTAGGGGGTTGTGTTGAATAGATTATATAAGCAGCAAAAAGTGCCCTACGTTGGGATATCGCTTTTGGTAGTGGTACAATTTTGTCTGTCTGACAATACCTACCCTTTAAAGGTGCGGTGCCTATCTCCAATAATATACAACGTCAGCAGACATCGATTAATTAGGAATAACCACCATTACCAATAATGTGACGTCCACCTAGTCCCTTCGCAAGTCATCAAAATATCCTCGGCAATTACTCCGTAGGTGGCTTGCGGGGAAGCTATGACGAAACTGTCCGACTTCGTAGGTCTGTCTCTTACTAATTATTAATATGGGCCCATTACTAATAATAAGGGAGGAAGCTCTCGGGAGTGCAACTCCTTTCCATCAGACCAACATCATCATTACTAAGCCCGGTATGTTCAACTCATCAACTACGCCCTTCCACAAACATACCTACGCTTTGATGGCGTGATCGATACGGCTTCTCTTGTCTACATATGGTAAAGGTCATGGGGTTCATGCCAGCTTTTATACATCTGTAGGACTTCTATAGTGATCGCCGGGCATGCCATTTTACCAGGAGTCCTCCCAGTATAATAAGCCATCTCTTCCCGTTGTAGATATTCTTCTTCGATATAAGGTATCCTATATCCTCCGCCCCCCAGTTCACCCCCCTTACACCGCACTATACTCGTCTCGGTATTGACACCGGGGTCCTTACGATCGATTCACGATTCGATCTGCGGCATAACACATTTTAAACTTCTTATTTCCACCTGAACTACGTCCTCGTCTACCAGCATCAACCAGATTACCATCATTCTCTCCCAATATAGTTGCCAATGGCCATCCAATCCAGCCAGCGGTTCGTTCCTCGCGGCGACGTCATCGCATCCCTTAACTTCTATTGCCCTCCGCCTGACAACACCGTTCCATTCAACAATGCCGGTGACCCTATCCCGGGCCAACCGCTCCGTAACTACTCAGACGTCTCTCACCCCGTCAAGATCAAAGACATCCGGGGCTCGGAAGAATGTTTTAACAACCTCGACCGCGACAGCTTTGCCGTAATCCGCAACGTGCCCCCTTCTGCCGAGAAGTCCTTCACGGACGACGCCTCTATCGCGGCCAACTACTACCCCGAAGTCGAGTCTCTACTCCTCGCCAGCATCCCGGGCGCCCACACCGTCACCATATTCGACCACACCATCCGCCGCACGAACCCGGACGCCCCGCGGGCCCCCGTCCAGCGAGTCCACGTGGACCAGACCCCACGTTCCACCGCCCTCCGCGTCCGCCGCCACGCCTCCGACGATGCCGCCGCCGAGAAGCTCTTGGCGGGCCGTTACCGCATCGTCAATGTCTGGCGGCCCCTCAACGAAGGACCCGTCGAATCCTTCCCCTTGGCTTTCGCTTCCGCCTCGTCGCTGGAAGACGACGATGTAGTCCCCATAGAACACCGTTACGCCTCCGGCTACAAGGGTGAGACCGCCGGCATCCGCTTCAACGAGCGCCAGAAGTGGTACTACCTCAGCGGCATGACGGGAGACGAGAGGCTGCTTTTGCAGTGCTTTGACAGCGAGGCCCTCAAGGAAGGCAGTGCAGTTCAGGGGGGTCGTGTGCCGCATAGTGCGTTCGACCACCCAGACACCAAGCCAGATGCTGTGGGGAGGGAAAGTATCGAGGTACGGGCATTGGTGTTTGGACCCTGAGAAGCATAGAATGTAGTTGATATAGTTTCTGTAAGTATCGGCGGCGGCCTGTCTCATTTTTCGATATCTCTAATTTATTACTACGGAGTACGGTTCCAAATTCACTCTAGACCCACGATCATCAGTAATCACTGTCAATATGTATTTGTAAAAGAACCTGGGTATCGGGAAAGGGCATGTCTCTTTCTTCCGTCCCCAGAGAAGCCCACTAGTCGCCAGAATCGGATCCATATTTGCTCTCATAAGTATCCTGTGTTGGACCCAAGATAAAAACATCAGTAAGGAAGAGAATAAACGAAAAAAAAAACCCCCCGAAAAAAAATCAATATCAACATCCAACGCCGTTCACCAATACGTAATACCATCCGGGGGACGAGCCAAGTCTATAACTCGCAGCTTTCGTCTCTCTATACCGAACCATTCCCATGCTACGTTGTCTGGCATGTTTCTTCTCCCTAGAACGCCCGTTTACCCATATCTCTCGTAATCGTCTCCTTCTCCCAGGGCTTGCTGTCCCCGTTTTTCACGAGCCTTCAGTTCTTCCGGGCCTTGCCACGGGAACTACCTTGCCGACTCATGGTGTGACCGCCGGCGGCACTGCTCTGGCGGCCCATGGGAACTGACGCTGCCACGGCCGGCGCAGCGGCTGTACCAGATGGCTTGGCCGCCGAGTCGGCTTCTTCATCGGCCTCGACTTCGTTCAGCCCCTCATTAAGAGACTTGGGATCCGGCCGAGAACCCGCACGGAAACCACCACCAGCAGTCTTGGTGTAGGGGGTCACGACAGACTCGAGCAATCTCCGGCTGCCATTAGGATGGTCGATCGAGGCGCCGGGCTTGTGTTTTGCGTCATATTTCTTGTAGAGCTCCATCAGGAGAATGTCCGAGTTGGCGTCTTCCGCCGACAAAGACTGCGGGTAGTTCTCGGCTGCTCGACCGCTTGTCTTGGAGTAGGAAGCTGGCTGAATAGGAGGAATCTTGGTTGGTTCGTGGGGCTGAAGGATATCGATGTGCTTCGGGAGTTCAAGATTGTTGGAAGCCTCCGCAGCTTCAAGGAGGCTCTGGTTGATAGCCGCACGGCTGCTACGGGTCGTATGGGATGTCGTCCGCTCCATCATCGGGGCAGACATCGAGTCGACACCGTCCTGTTCAGAGCCGTCATTCTCGCCGGAGTCACTACCGTTGGGCGAGGCAGCAGCACCGTTGGAATAGACTTTGTTTTTCAGGATGTACTTATGGGCAGCAAGGGACGCCTGGTGGCGTGTCATGGAGAGTTCCTTTTCCGTAAAAAGCTTTTCGATGCTATAAGCTGGGCCATTGTGTTTAGCCGAGTAGCGGAGCTTCTCGTTCTGCCATAGAGGTGTCGTGGTATTGGGATCGAGGAGGCGGCGGGAGGGAACAGGGGAGCCGTCGTCGTCTCCAGGAGCTCTCTTGCGCTTCTTAGTCTCTGAGTATCCAGAAAGATCATCGGCGTCCTTGCGAAGCCTCGTAGCTCGTTTGCCATGAGCGCCACCGGGGCTGGCTGGATTGGTCATACTGAATTGGTTTGGGTGAAGCAGCAGGGCGGATGAGTCGGAGATTTCCAGGGCTTCTTTTTCCTTCTGGAGACGATACTTTCGAGATGTAACTGTATTAATGAGCCGATCGCGGAGAGTATTAGCGAGGGCGCGATGTTCCCTGTTGGCCGTCTCAACTTTGTAGAGGTACTCGTTCTGGTACTGGTGTAGCCGTCGATCATGCTCGTGCTGTTTTTGGGTAGAAACCGTTAGACCGACGCCAGTGACAAAAAGAAAAGAACGAAAATGAAACTGACACTTAACTAACCTTTTGCTGGGCCAGATGGGAATCGCGGTGTTCAATCAGATCCTCGACTTCCCGGATAAAGTCCTGGAATTTGGGTCCCGACATTTGAACAAGAGTGCGGGAGTTTTCCGACAGGGTCTCTGGTGATTGAGCCTCGGCATGTTCACGGCGGAGACTGGCAATGACGTCGAGAACATTGGGGTCATATGGGTCGAGCCGCTGGACAAGCGTGGTGTCGACTTGAATTTTCTGCAACTGGTCGCGGTAACTCAGGTCTCGGTCACGCTGGAATTTCTCGTTCAGGTGGGCAAGTTTCTCAGTGATGTATTGACGCTTTCGCTCACGCTTCGAAGGTGCGGCGGCCCCCGTGGGGCCAGCGTCGTGAGTCGCCATCTTGGTGCCTGGGTTGGTGAAGCCCGTTGGTGTTGAGAAAAGGAGGAAGAAGGGTTGAGTTAACTTGCATTTGAGGAGAATGGAGGAAGGGAGTATTAGGTTGGGCAAGGCCAGGAATGCCTAGGTTCAGCCTCGCGCCAGGAATCAGGGTAGGGCTGCTGATTGGTTGAACGATAGATTGACAGGGGCGGGGTGGATTAGGGTGCTCGGCACACCAACGTCACCGAGAAATCGCCGTGTTTGTGCCTACAAATATATGGTACAAGGTAAGTACTTGCCTATGGGGTAGCCGCTTCACTTCCCTTAGAGGAAGCACATTTAAGTTCTGAATACATTGCTTTGGGCTTGAATTCAGGCATAATGGTTAAACCCAGCTACCTTACGTTAGTTACAACCTCGCGTCACAATCAGTCACAATGTCACAACGCCAGCTTCATCCTGTGCATACGAGTCTTCACACTGACAACCACTCCGTAACCATCATGGAAATCTTCTCTCCATACCTACCTGCACATATTGATCAAATAGTGGGCCCTGCTGCTTATACACATAACTTTCGCATAACGCTCATTACGATGGTCTTACCCATTATGGCTCAGACATTTCATCAAATGGCCCGACAATAACGGAATTCCTCCCACCTGCATAGAAGGGGGCATTATAGTGGGAGAAATCCTCATCTCATTTCTTCATAGCCCGCTTCTCAGTTTTTGAAGTTGGCTCATCAAGCCATACCCAGTCAGATATGATTTCTCCTCCTCCGCCTTCACGCTCTCCCGCTTTACGCTCCCCTTTCTCGGTCGTCGACTAGACCCCGTCGCCGCACCGTCACCCTCCCGCCGTGCAGCAGCCTCCGCCTCCTTCAGTAGCTCCTTGTGTCTGTCCTCGACCATCTTGGCCAATGTCTCAATGAACCTGGTGCGACCTTTCTCCTCGGCCGTGCCCTTCCAAACCGTCGCCAGCGTTTTGAGCGCCTCCACACGCTCTGCAGCCCTCTCAATACCGGCGACGGGGTCATCGCTTCCGTCTGCGGCCTTGCCATTCTGCAGAAGTTGCGTAATCTCTTCCCGTAGTCGCCTGAGTACCTGTTGTCCTTTCTCCTCCGTGCTATGCTGCCCGGCGCCCCCGGCGCCCCCGACGGCCCCAAAGCTCCCGCTTCCGGGTTCAGGCGCCGACACGGATAGAAATCCTGACGCAGCGGAGAGCTCTGAAGGAGGGAAGACAAACTCCATTGCCTCGCCAAAAGTATTTATGACGGAGTCCAGACGGTCGCGAACAAGGCTGAGGGTGCGGAGTTGCTTAATGCACTGAGGTTCATTGGGAAGACCTGGTTCAGGGGATTCAGCAGCCGCTGGGGGAATGGCGACAGAGACATCTTTCTGTTCAGGCGCCTTCATATCCCTCGTCCCAGAAGCAGCCGTGAGATCTGTATCAGCGGTGCTGGGTAGTCCGTCGGGCAAAAACTTCCGAATATCAGCCTGTAGTTTCTCGTGTAACGTCTCGGAGAAACTGAGGGTTTCACCGCGGAGGAGCTCGACTTGGTAGGCGAGTCTGCTTCCGCTCCGTAGGATGTCGTCCGTCAGCTGCGTCAAAGTATTCGATAGCCGCGTCGTGTGAGCATCTAGTTGCGTTGCAAGCGTTTGAGCCTCATTTGATAACTCGGAGAGAGGAACCGCTTGTCTTTTCGTAGGACCACCGGCCCCGGATCCCGTCGCGGAGTGGTTGCCGTATTGAAGTGGAGGTAATGTTGCGTTTAAGTAGGCTGTAGGGTCAAACGATGGGTCGAGAAATGCCTGCAAAAAGCTGTCTTCCCATTGGCTAGATTTCGGCCGAACGAGTGACTTAGACTGTGACCTTTGTCGTGCATGTATGGGAAGAATCTTGGATGAGGTGGCAGAACTGTTTTGGCGGCGGTGCGACAGTGCCGCGTTCGAGTCCGAGGCCATGGTGGCTCGGAATTCTTTGCAAATGCCCTTTCAACCAAGGCCTCCGTGGCTTTCCGGTCGCACTAATAGACGGAATATCGAATTATGAGACCTGGACCGGTAGCTTGTTGGTAGTGAAAAATATCAATGTATGAACACGACCTGTTAACAGAAAGTGAAGGTTGGTAAAATGAAAATAACCTTGCAGTCTCATTCGCTGAGCGGGTCTCATGTCCCGTACCTGTACCTCAGGGAGTGCAGAAATTCCACCCACTAATTGTTGAATTAACGGGAGCGTGCTTGCAGGGAGCGTTGATTCAGGAAATGTATGATTGTATTGTCTATAAAAGAGAAAGGAAAAGGGGGCGGGTATACGTGTCCTAAATATATCTACTACCTTCTAAGCGAGGATAGTAGGGCACCTCTAACTAATAGGAGAGTATTATACCGTGGCTTACGTGATAGAATATAATATACCCCCTAATTATTACGCCGTGATTAGCGGAACGATTACTTAGCCTAACCTCAACCTAGCCTTGTTTTTAACCTTAAAATAGCCTTAAAGGGTCGTGTAATACCCTTAATATCGAGTTAAAAGGCAGGAATAAAAGCTATAAAATAGTAAAGAATAATAATAATAGTAGTAAATAATAAAGGAAAAGTGCTATTAATAGTAGTAGTAAATAGGTAATAGTAGGGCTTTCTCTAGATAAATTAAAGGCGTTATACCGGCGTTTTAAAGCTTTTAGATCCTCCCTCTTATAATCTCTTATTCCGTTATTTCTTAAGAAATTTTAACGATTTTTAAACTAATTTTCCGAATTTTCCTATTAATAGTAATAAAAATAATAATACTAGCGATATAATAAATATCGGAGCTTTGTTTTTAGTGGCGTATACTAATTAGTAGCGTTATTTTAGGCTCCTCTTACTCTTTCCGCGGTTACTCGGGCCGCTACGGCTAAAAAGGCCTCGACTAACGGCGTTAAGAAGAATAAGGGTAAGGGCGGCGGTAAAAAGGGTGCTTCTATAAGTCGTTTTAGCGCATTTATCTTTAATCCGTCTGCTCTGGTTCCGGCTAACCCTTTAATAGACTGCTAAGGATAGTAATAATAATAGTAATAAGGATACCGAAGAAGCCTTTATTCCGGTCCCCTTTAACCCCCCTTACCTAGAATACGTAAAGGGTAATTATTCTAGTAAATAGCGCTTATTTAATTACTATATTTCGGTTCCTAGCCGCTTTAACCGCTACTAAAAGTATAAGGATAGAAACTATATATACTACCCTCTATAAGTTTTTACCCTTTATCTAAGGCGCTTTACGATTATAATTAGATACTCTATTTTATATTAGCTTAAAGATATTTACGCTATTAAGCTTTACGACCGCTAACCTATACTTATAGCTTTTCTAGCTTTATTTCCCTAGTTAAAATTCTGTTTAACTATATTATAGTCCGAAAAATTAATAAAGAGTCGGATAATAAAGATAAGAAGGTACGTTTATCGCTTTATTTCTATAGTTAAATACTCTGACTAACTAATTTCGCGTAGTTCTTCGCTAAACTCACGTAAACGGTGAAGTTTATAATCAAACTAAGAAAGGATAAGAATAATAAGAAGTTCTTCCGTAAGAAAGAACTTAAGGGAGTATTAAACTAGCTTCCTGCTACTACCTTAGGCAGTAATTCTACCTCCTAGCTCGCGGGGGTTATAATAGAGATTTTATGGGAAAATAGCTTTATTATTACTCCTCTGGCTAGAGAAAATAGTATAGTGGCTAGCGTATCTAGTACGTAAGTTAGTGCTCCAGATAAAGCCGATAAAGCTTAGTAACTTAGCTAGTATACTTTTTTAGTGTTTTAGGATTTACTTTTAGGTTTTAGTATAGTGTTTTAGTATTAAGATAACTATACCCTCCTACTTTTTACTAAATTAACTAAACCGCCGGCGCGCGGTACGCCTAAAGTATAGGAATTTCGACTTTGACTGCTTCTTTTTACCCCCTCCGTGCACTAATTATATTAAGATATACTCGGAAGTTCTCGAATTCTTATCGTGGAAATACTTTTATTAATCCGTCCGCTAGTATTAAATTCGTAGTAAGATATACGACTCTAAATAATCCCTTTACGTTCTTCTACCTTACCTAAAAGCGCTATATATCTATATAGCGAAGCCTAGTCTTAATCCTAAAGCTATCGTCGACTATTAGGCGTATTATTGATATATTATCGTAGTGGATATCCTAAGGAGATTCTAGATTAAAGCGTATTTCGACGAAAAGACGCTTTAAACCTATTATTTCCTTTACTACTTACTCTAAAGTGAGTAGCTCTACTTCGGTTATAGACGTTATTACTATTACTTACCTTATTACTTTCTATATAACTAATCTACTAAATAGGCTAATAAGGTAACCCTATAAAGATCTTTATATATCTAAATCGTCTATAAAAAAGGCGTCGCTTACGATAATTATCGCCTATAAACTAATACTCGATCCGTACTAAATTAAGAGGTCCTTTATTATAAATAGATAGCGGATAGCTTAGTCTACCGCCTTATAGTGCTCGAGAGAGGGGTTTCTAAGAAAGCAGGAGAGGATAAAGCGGCGAATACTATATTAGGACGTATTATAGCTACTATATAAAGCACTAATCCGACCTTTTCTTAATAAGATTTAATCTCTTAAGCGATAGCTTTATCTTCTTTTTTCCGGTATTCTATAATAGAAATAAGGATTATTAGGTAGGTGTTTAGAGTGTTTAATTTAAACCTGGCGATAATCTTTTCGATATATAAATCGTAGGAGAGAAAAACCTTATATTTAGGGCGATCTCGAGTAATTTTAATACCTAAAAACTAATCGGCTTCCCCTTTTTCCGATACCTCGAACCTTATTTTAATCCCTTCGATAATCCAAAGGCCGTTTATAGCACTATCTTTATAAAATAATATAAGGATATCGTCTATAAAGATAATAACGAATATATCTTAAGCCTTAGTGTAAAATAGGCACGGTTTTTCCTTACTAGCGTTTATCCCTAAATCTATTAGGGTAGCCGCAAAGGTCTAGAACTATAGTCTAAGCGAGTCGCGTAGTCTATATAATGCTTTATCGAGCTCTAAGTACTTATCGGGCTACTTAAATCTTTTTGATATTAATATTATTACTAATAATATCCTTAATATCTTTCGAGTATATCCTTCGTACTCGAACAAAGGATATCTTCCCCGCAAGCCTAGACCGTTCTCTTTCGAGTCAGTTCATCTATTACGAGTCAGATAAAGGATATAATGGATTACGATATTACTACGATATCGATATATATTATAATACTATTACGATATCGATTCTTTACAAAGAATAAAGGATATTAACCCGTTCCTTCGGTTCGGTTCTTCCTTTCTTTGTTCTTTATTCTTAATTCTTAATCCTTTATCTTAATCTCTTTTTCGATCCGAAGAAGAGATAATACGCGCGCAGAGATCCTACCTTATAATCCTATTATTACCTTCTTATTTTTCGACTGCTTTTCGTGACTTTCGTCCCTTCCGTTTATCCGATATCGTCAGATATCTTTAAAAGCCTATAAGCCCGGAAAAGCTCGACTAAAGTCTCGAAATAACGTATTTCTTAATTACCTACGGTCGTAAGCTAAAAAGAGAATCCCCCGATTCCAAACAACAGTCCCTATTCCTATCCGATATTCCTCTTTATATACTACCGACACTACCTTCCTACCTTCCTACTGACCTATATTCCTATATCTACGATTCTACGGTTCGATCGGTCGGTCGGCTTAGTCGTACGCTTATAAATCTATAAAATCATAAAAATCATAAAAGCTACGATTACGTGAATTAAATAAGGGCACTATTCTATACGTACGGATATAATAACCACTATACTACGAGGGCTATTCTAGTTATTATTACTAGGATATCTTCATTGCTTATAAGTCTTTAGTTTTACCTGAGATTTCCCCTATGTATTTTCCGACCGTGGAATCCTATATAAATATCGTGTTTTCTACGCGACCGTGAATCCCCTCGCTACGCGAAGACCTATTTTAGGATCCTCGCGAATAAATGAATCACACCGGCCCCACTTTGGATCCGCCGGAATAAAGGAATACTATCTTTGGAAATAAAGGAATTCTGTTATTCGCACGTACGGATATCGTTTTCTTTATCTACGAAGCTGTTTTTCCTCTTTTAGAATAAAGAACTATATACCGGTTCCACTTTAGACCCGCACGAATAAAGGTATCGCTATGGTAACCACGTCTATACTCAGAATAAAGAAAATAATAAAGAAAAGAACTATTTTCCTTATTTATAGTATAACTTCGTTAGTTCTTATCTAAAATAAATAAAATAAATACCGTTTAGAAGCTCGAAAGATACCCGCGTAGGCTAAACTTAAGGAAATCAACGTAAAGAAGCTAAAGGGTAGTCAGGACTACTAAACCTGGACGATAGCTATACGTGCTTACTTCGCACGTAAGGGAAAGCTTCTAAAAGAGCTTATAAAACCCCTGCCTGGAGATGCCTCTAATAAGGTAAAAGAAGAAGATTTAAAGACTACTAGAGATCTACTCTCCGCTCTGTAAGACGGGCCCCTAATATAGGTTTAGGACCTTAATTTTGCTTTAGAAATCTAGGAAAAGCTAAAATCCCTATACGAGAAAAAGGGTTTTTAAGCAGACTACAATATCCTTACGTCGTTTTTTAACCTAGATATCTTAGAATTCCCCACGCTCGAGGACTTTCTATATAAAGTCTAAGAAAGGTTGATTATCCTTCGAGGAAGGGATATTATTCTACCAGATAAGGTGGTTTTTGCCTAGACTCTGAACCGCCTCGACGAGCGTTACGACGCAGTTACCTCGTAGATCACATAGGCTCTTCGGCACGATATCGATAGCTATATATTCGATAAAATCGTTACTGAACTAATAGACGCGTCGAGCAAAATCGACTCTTCCACCTTAAAGGTCCTGCTTATAAAAGCACAGAAAAATCAGAAAAAATAGTCGAATAGCAGCTAATAGCAAAAGAACTAGAAGACCCTTTTCTATAGTAACTGAAAAAGGTCTAGACACCTGCCGACGAACTATTTCTTTTTATACCCTAAAAAAGCCCCGGCTAGCTAGGTAGTTAAGGGAAATTCAGGATTAAGGAAAAATACCTAAAATCGGGTAAATAAAAATAAAAAGCCTCCGAAGAAGACTAA